GATGCACCGGTGTTCGAATCCCGCAGGCGGGTACCAATTTTTCTAATGAAATACGTACTCAACAAATGTTCACGATTGACTTCCACGGTGAAGGAATAACATCGTGTAATAAAAATGAAACCCGCAAAATTATAATTTGCGTAATCACTGGTGGTAGGACCTCTTGGGAGTCCACACAGGTAGGTACCACCACCCCGCCTATTTCCGCCGTGAAGCAGTAATGCGTTTCGGTTCGAATGGTGGGGTAGCCGTTGTAACTATACTGAGACCTTAGAACTTATAGGTATCTCAAGATGGGTGGCGCATTTACGTTGTAGATGTCTATGGGCTCCAGTAACCACTTAACATCAGGTGGGCTGTGAGCTCATCCATCCATCTAAGCAACAAAACAAAAAATAATACTAATAATAATATATTTTCGACTACCAAGAACCTTTACAGAATTCAAAATATCCCAACTAAAATAATGTTACATTTCCATTCAAATAGACTGGACAAATAAATCAAACAAAATCATGTTAGAACAAAATCGATTCAAAACAATTGTTTTTAAAAGGGTGCGATTTTGTTTTACGAAAACAATTTGCAGCCAATTTAGCGCGTTCATTGTGAGCCGCCCCCGGCGGACGTGAATTTGAATCAGCTGTGCCCTATTGAACACTGTCGCTTTATTTTATAAACGATTTCATAACTTCACGCCTCGGTAACTGATGTGGGATGGACAGGAAAGGATTTAGGGCTTTACGTGTTGTGCTGTTAGAAATCGCGCGATTTTGTTTGTAGCTAGCTCTCCCAACTCCAAATAAAATTCAGAATGACTTTTCCAAATTTTCTAAAATCTTTATTAGGGCAATTATGAACTTTGTAAAAAATACCAAATCGATTTCGTTAATTGAACACTTATGTGCTTACTAACAATCAGCATTTCAATTTGTTTAGATTAGTACTTACATATGACGTATTACGGTAGCTAATATAAAGAACAGTCATATAGTTTCTCGAACGTGAGTGAGTAGCCTTTTTCATGGATTTCTTCAATGTTATCGTTTAGGGAGGAGATTTAGTTCACTTTAATGTTTGTATGGTTAAATAATATTTGAAGTACTCTAAGATACCATTTCTAGAGGCTTCTAGAAGATGGGATATAATTTAACCCGCTGAAAAGTTATCGAAGTTACGATACGGGACCATCGCTAATAATTCAAATTGTCTCGATGCAAGATACAAAACAGCTTAAAACTCACCTGGAGCTAAGTGGTTACCGGAGCCATGAGACACGAGGTCTCACTTTTAACAGTACAACGGCTGCCCCGCTGCTTTCAAACCGAAACGCATTACTGCTTCACGGCGGAAATAGGCGGGGTGGTGGTACCTACCCGTGCGGACTCACAAAAGGTCCTACCACCAGTAAAGTGTCTTCGCAAGCCCAGATATTTTGAATACAATGCCACTTCTGATTCCGTTACTCATGACATAAAACATACGCTTTTTAAAATGTTTTCAAATTAATGTTTTAATAGAGCTAGTAGGAGTTCGAAACTTTGTACAGTTATTGTCACTTGTCTGACAGTTTCTGATATAATAGCATCAGCGTGAAATAAATAAGAAGTGGACATTTCGCTTAAAAAAAATTATATATTTAAAAAAGAGTACAACATGTTTTTCATTTTGTATTAAACATAGCATGCCGAGCTCACAGAAATCCTAATAAAAATGCTTTAATTTTTGATTATTGGAACAGAGTCATAAAACAAACAAACCATAATCAAAATTTTGCAATGCTAACATTTACGTTCCGTAATATTGACCTGTCAAATTTCCCGCCACTTCTCCGTATTGTTCCCGCCACCGCGTGACGTCATTGTTTGCGTAGTGAAAAGGAAATTAATAGTTACGTTCGCAAACATATGATGCAATCAAATGGTCTTTATGGCTTAAGGAATAGAGATGTTTATTGTAAAATTCTGCTACTAGTAAAATGTGTAAGATGAAAACTATGGGGACGCGTTGTGAATGCAGCCGGTAAATCAATTTCAACATTTATTTATTGTTAGGTGTTAAACAAGGAAATAGTTATTTATTATATTAAATTATGAATTTACGTTGTTATTTTGACTTATGCGAATATATTGAGGTTAATTTATGTAATTTTTAAACATGGCGGCTACATTGTAATGACGTCAGTACTGTCCTTCAAAGACATTTTTTTGACATATGTGACACATTTTCTTAAATTAATACAGAGTAGTAGTAAATTTCATATATTTTAATCAATACAGAATACACTTTTTTTAAATGTATACAGCTAAAAGTAACATACTGTCACATATAATATTGTAAGAAATGATAACAATAAATTTAGTTAGTGTACGTTCAAAATATTTATTTATTTATTTTATTATTATTTGTGGTAATAGGTTAACAAAGACGGTGCTTAATATTAATAAGCACTATCACTATGTCCTGCTAGTAAAGCGTACAAATATTACGTTTAAGTATAATCTACATAAAAACATTGAACTTAAATTATGATTATTTAACTCTATTCTACTTTGTCATCTAAATGATCTAATTTTATCATCTAAATATTCTGACATAGTATAGTAAGCCTTATCTAATAAAAATACAATGTTTTCTTAAAATCTTGTAAATCTACTGTCTTCAAAAATTTTATAGGTAGTTTATTATATATTCTTGTGACATACTAAAAAAACTCTTGTCATAAAGGGCAAAAAAGGGAAAAAAACGTTAATAAAATAATTCGCAAAGGTCTATTTTCAAATTAATCTTAGAAGTGTATGCGGAAACTACAAGTATCATTTGATTAATAATCAGATAATGCAATAAGCGATGTCATGTTTTACCTCATTTGCAAGTAAGAAGAACCTTTGGCCTCAAACAAAACAAAAATAGTAGCGGTAATTTGTTTACGTCGCCGGTAGCTGTAGATACGAATTGTTGCAAGTTGACTATTAAGTGACTACCCTTATAAATTGGTTTAAAGACAGCGTACTCCGTAAATTCGGATGTGGCATATTCATTTTTGTTGCTGGTTTGTATGTGAAATAACAATATTAATTGCTTGTCTGCTATTAAATAAATAAGAAACGCCCATCAAAAAAGTAACTATTTTATCTAAGTATTGGTGAGTGAGTGAGTATTCAAAATTACTATTGTTTTTGAAGCTAGGTTCTGTGTTATTAAGTAATATTGGAAGTGTTGGACGCAACGTTCCATAATTAAAATACTCTTAACACATACAATTGTTTTTATATCCATTTAACATATAACTAGAGGTCCCGCAGTAGTCGAAATTCGACTATAATTAATTGGAATTGTAAGTTTGTACACTATTATGAATTGTATTTTATACTTCTATAATCACAAATTTCGTCAAGACTACGCTATAAAAATATTAACAAAGACAAACCATATTCTATTCTCAATTTGACAGCAGACGTTAACAACAGTTTGACAATAAATAGTATGCATGCGTGTGTGCGTCAAATACATGGTATGTAGTGTGTGTAATGTTTTCTTTATTGATTTAATGTATCTTTTATGCATTATTTAAAAAAAATATTAGCATTGTGCACTTCTTCTCTATATTCTCTATAAGTGTGGAAAATTTCATACTCCTCCGTACGCGCAATTTTCGTAAAAAGGGATANTGTGCGTCAAATACATGGTATGTAGTGTGTGTAATGTTTTCTTTATTGATTTAATGTATCTTTTATGCATTATTTAAAAAAAATATTAGCATTGTGCACTTCTTCTCTATATTCTCTATAAGTGTGGAAAATTTCATACTCCTCCGTACGCGCAATTTTCGTAAAAAGGGATACAAAGTTTTTGCTTCACGTATTAATATATAGATTATGAGGTGCCAATACAATCGAGCACAGTTTTGATAATAATTATGATACTTAACTTTTGTATGATAATATGAAAAAAGTACTTTTATTAAGTTCTCTATTATTGAAATTATCTTCAAAATACCACATCCATTAAAACGAGCGCACTATATATCGTACATCTGTACTGCAGTCACGGTCTCTGCGGGCCCCTGATTCGATTTCTGGTGACTGTGTTATCGGGTCTTTCAGTATTGATCTCATTCGTACTAAATTTAGCGTTTGCGTTGTCTAAAAATAGAACTTACTGTCGGTGGTTTTATTCGAAGGATGCACATAAACTAAGTCACATTTCTTTGATTTTATACATAGACTGATAATTCCAGGGAGTTTTTTTAATATTTTTTTTATTGCTTAGATTGTTGGACGAGCTCACAGCCTACCTGGTGTTGAGTGGTTACTGGAGCCCATAGACATCTACGACGTAAATGCGCCACCCACCTTGAGATATAAGTTCTAAGGTCTCAAGTATAGTTACAGCGGCTGCACCGAAGGGGGCGCAATTCGAACCGAGTTTCTCATTCTTACGTATGAATATTAGAAATAATCGAATCAAAACAATGTGCTTATGGAAGTATATGGTAAATCACAAAGTATCCATTTCATAATATTTCCTAATCAATTCTCGTTCTCGTTTCTAAATGAACAAAACTGACTGCTGTAACATTTAAGCAATAAATAAGCCGATATTTGATTAATGACAACAAACGGACACCTTGCCTTCTGAAGGCGGTGTAATTAAGCTAATTACTGGAGTCCAATTAGTTGGCCCAATGAAGCGAATTTCTAACTAGTCTGGAGCTTGGTGACAAATACGTTTGGTGTCTGACCTGAGATCTCGATCAAACAGTAATACCGTTTGAATGTTGTTTGCGTTTGTCGTTTATGTCTTGTCGTCGAGGCGCTTGTAAACAAATTAAACACTTCCTATGTCTGAAGAGGAGAAACCAAAAGGAGGTCTTTGAAACAGATTTTCGCGCAACAAATTTTTCGTATAGGACAAATCCACTTTCCAACTCCACGACAATATTCGTTTACAAAGCTGGAAGCATGAGTGTTAACTTCATATTGCTTTTTTACAGAAACATGTCATCTAAACGGAAGTCGCCACCGTCAAAATTGCAAGAAGGTGCCGCCGAGAACGCCAATACTGAAGCGGGACCCGCTACCCTGGATTTCGCAGACCACCCCGAGTCTTCGGACGAGCAACACAGCTACTACAAACTTTCCCCAAGCTGCTCAACGAGGAGCTCGATCAGCGAAGACGAACAGCCCAACGAAGACGAAAGACCAAGCAAAAAGCAACGTTTCGAATCATTAGAGATGACCAACAATCTATTAGTCCCATCGTCTTTTCTAAGTCTGCACCAAATAAACGATCTGCAGGCTCGGAGACGTGGCTCCTCAGAATGCAGCAGTCCTGGTGCTGAGGCGAAGGTTTTGGGTCTTTGTAATAACAATAACTCATTGCTGAATCATAACAGTGCATTATCTTTGGCGCATCCTCATAAGAGGTCCATGGATGACGTGCTCAAGAGGTTGACCTCGAAAATGAACAACAGTACAATTAAAGAAGAAAAGCGGCCGACTCCGTCTACCACGCCAGTTAAGCAGAACAAGTAAGTACAACGTAGATATTATAATATGTTAACAAAAAAGAATCTCGACCGAATAACAGTCCAAGGCGCTTAAATATGTATCATTGAGGAAAACTCAAAAACTGCTTCCTACCACCACCCAGTACAGTAATTTGCTTGTTATTATATTGCATTAAATTTCGTTTTCTGTTCCGTAATTTACACATTTTTCTTTAAAGTGGAAGGCACAACAAAAATATTTTCGAAAAACCAATAGTTCTGTGTTTCATTGATGGCACAGAAGATTTTAGCTTAGCTATTAGCAATTGAATCGGTCGACTAACAAAGGATAAAAAGACACTATTTGATATAAAAAAAATATAGTTAATTTTCATAACGTAATCTGTAATGGTTTGCCACAAATAAATGACGGTTATTTATTATTATTATTTATTAAAGCCACAGCACAAAAGAAGCACACCACAAAATAAAATATTAACCTAAACCTGAATCTTTAAAAAGTGCTAAATACTGTAGCATCTTTCATTATTTAATAATAAATGAAACAAAAAAATTTGCATAACACAAGCGCCGGAGAATTTGCCAACGGCAGTAAATAAAACGGCTCTAGTTTATTTAGTAAACCGTAAACATTAATAGGTAGTAAATAATTAACTGTTAACTCTTAAAGAGCTATAAAACGTAATAGCCGTGAACTTTAAGGAGGGATAAGTAGCTTTTCCACAACTACTATATTTAACGGCGATTTTAGGAGTTTACCAATCGTTATAACGTTTATTATAGTTATAATTTTTAGTGTAACTAAAATGCTAGGAATTAAACTCAGTTTTGTTCTATATTTGGTTCGTGTATGGAAACATATATAATTATCTATCTCTATATATAAAAATTAATTGCTGTTCGTTAGTCTCGCTAAAACTCGAGAACGGCTGAACCGATTTGGCTAGTTTTGGTCTTGAATTATTTGTGAAAGTCCAGAGAAGGTTTAAAAGGTAGATAAATATGAAAATGCTCGGCATTAAATAAAAATGACAATTTTGTTTTTCCTTTGATGTGTCCCCGTCGGTCCGATTCCTTTTGTTTGTTTTAAGTTTATTTTATACAATTTTATACAATTTATTTATCGATTGAGGCACTACGAAGTCTGCCGGGTCAGCTAGTAATGAAATATAAACGGAAAATAATTTGATAAGTTAAGCTGTTTTCGTCGTTTGAATACGTTCTTATCATGATATTGCACTTCGTGTATTGTTCAGGTAACGCGACTAGCTTCATTCATGGTTGGATTACTGAAACGCCCTAGATTGAAACACCTACATTATTAGCCTATACTATAAATAGTAATTCTTTTTTATCAACCTTCATTTTCAGTATTTAAAATAGAGAAAAACTTTAAAATTTCGGCTAATCTTCGATAGAAGGAAGGCTATTTAAGAATGCATTTTAATTACTAGTAGATACCTTTTGTCTGTTATAAGCAATGTTTGTGTTATTTAAATAAATAAAACTGAATGTCATCAAGATGTATTACTTATTATTAGTGAACGTGTCATCTTAAAGCCTTTCATTAGGATACGAATTGAAAGTCGAGTAATCTTTACTTATCACATCGAAATACAAATATAGCGGAATAATTTTTTTTCAATTCACGTTTGTAGATTTTTAATCGCCAAAGCAAAAAAAAACAAAGGTTATAGGAATCATTTAATTTATCATTCTGTAAGAATATCCTTTTAATTGATGTCCTTTAGAACTGAAGCATCGATGTGTGGTAAACCCGCAATCTATAACCAATACAGCCAGTCTGGCTAGCCCGTATCGCTCGAGTTCGTTGAACCCACGCATCAACCGACTGTTATTGCATTACATTACATTTACATCTAGTGCAAAATGAATATATAGAAAATATAACATTACTCGTTAGTTTTTTTTTTGTAGTTAAGGCTTTTAAGAGACTTGCAAATAAAAAAGAATTAATAGTTAAAAGCAATATTCCCAAAAGGCAATTAAAATTTTCTACAGATAGATTTAAGAAGTTAATATCAAATTATAAATCTAAAAAATATATTTTCGTTGGAAGACATTGCTGTTCCTATATGACATCGTGATTACTGTTAAGTTTTTTTTTGTATTAACTGGGTATGTTTACGTTACTATTTGACGGGTGCGAAGAAATTCATTGACCAAAGAATCTTTAATATAATTTACAATGTAACAACAAGCAATATGGAACACTGTTACAGTTCCAAAGAATTATCTATAACCCTAATAACGAATTTGAGGGTAATCTTTCGTAAAAATTAACAACGTATTCCCTTGCGAACCCGACCGCAAACAAACGACTCTAAAAGCTAAATATCTATTAAAAGCTTAGTTAAGGACGGCTTTTAAAGGTTTTATAGTGGTCTTGCGGTGGTCTTCACATTGTTTTTAATGAGCCATAATACGACCAATTAAATTGGAGCCGTCGACATGAGGCTGTCGCACACTGTTGTTTAGTAGTTGGAATAAAAGCTCGTTCGTGCTTTATGTAAGTGGAACTGTAAATTCGTTTTTATTAAAATTTGTATATTTTTTTTCGTGTATATAATTCATTGATCACTCGTGGAATCTATAGATATTGTTCGTAGCCCATATTGGAAGCACGGGAAGGTGTTTTCCTTCCTAATCATTTCTGCAAGAAAGACAGAGTTCCAGTTCAAAGGATAGTTTCAACTAGTTTAGAAAACAATTAAAATCTTTTACTGGTGGTAGGACCTCTTGTGACTCCGCACGGATAGGTACCACCACCCTGATTATTTCTGCCATGAAGCATTGGTGCGTTTCGGTTTGATGAAGGGTGGGGCAGTCGTTGTAATTATACTTGAGACCTTAGAACTTGTATCTCAAGGTGGGTGGCACATTTACGTTGTAGATGTCTATGGGCTACAGTAAGCACTTAACACCAGGTGGGCTGTGAGATCGTCCACCCAACTATGCAATAAATAAAAATTGCGTTTCAATAATAACTTAAAAGCCGTGTCTCGCTTAGAGCTATCTTAGAGCAGTTAAAATTCAAACAAAACTCGGACTTTTGGGCGATTGCATAAAAAAACACCTGGTCTCTGGAAGGCGCTTACTTTGAGCTAATAATTGTTGATATATGTATTTCGGTCACTTGCGATAAAGCTACATATTTTCGGCAATTTCGACTTAGAAATTACAATATTCTCATTATTACGGGGTCCGTCAGTATCTTCGTTACAGCTAATTGGCGTTGCGAATCTGGGGGGCTCTTTTCAGAGTCAAATTCTAAAAGAATCTATGAACTTTGCCATCCATTCATCACGAGATTAGTTCTGCCCATTCGAGCCATATATTTTTTATTTATTGCTTAGATGGGTAGACGAGCTCACAGCCCACCTGGTGTTATGTGGTTACTAGAGCCCATAGATATCTCACCTTGAGATATAAGTTCTTGGGTCTCAGTATAGTTACAACGGCTACCCCACCCTTCAAACCGAAACGCATTACTGCTAAAGAACATCAGCGTTATCATTTCGACTTAATTGGTTCAAAAACTCAATTGTTATGAACGTTTCGAATAGACAAAACATAAACACAAATAGGAAAAATGCCAGATCTAATTAAATGGTTAATAATATAATTATAATAAACACATAAAGCTTATCGACAATAATTATTTCCGTGTATCTATGTAAACATAACTGAAGTGCGTTATAGGATGGACCGGAAACCTGGATTACGACTGCAAACCGATATAAGATTTGGAAGTTTGCAAAGCTTATGTCCAGATTTTAGTTCACCTAAGTTTGCTTTATTTCACAGTTACAAATTTTTCGGAGATAGACACCAGTATTGGTCGCGACTTAGAACAAGTCAAAACAGTCTCTTGTAACCACGAAAATCATGGCTCGTTTTAAAATCATGGGTCATAAAATCATGGCTCATTTACTGGTGGTAGGACCTCTTGTGAGTGCGTACGTTAGAACTTATATCTCAGGGTGGGTGGCGCATTTACGTTGTAGATGTCTATGGGCTCCAGTAACCACTTAACACCAGATGGGCTGTGAGCTCGTCCACCCATCTAAGCAGTTAAAAAAGTGATCGTCATAAGACCAACCAAACCCGGACACCGATTTGGTTCTCTAATAAAGACTTTGACAGCAACCGAGAAACGAATACAAATAAAAAAATCGATTCAAAATTGACTTGCAGTTAAAAAATATTTACCTCACCACACTAGTGATACGTATGTTGCTCTAGATCGATAAATAATTTATAGGCGTCTCTATAGAATAAACAAATAAGGTTCAAGTCTCAATTGCAATGTGATTGTCTCCTGTAAAAAGGGACGCACCCACCTCTGCGGCAGATGTAAGTAGAACAGTGATAAAAGAATCCTAAGACAATACTATTCATGACCATGGTAAAGAACCTTTTTTTCCCTACCTAAACTGATAGCCTTGAGAGGCTAAATCAGCTTCGCCCTAACGTGTAGGTGAGCTCACGGGGCTCAAACCGGAGAATGCTAACACTGACCCTAGTAAGAGCCAGTGCGTCGCAGAATCTACCACCGGATCGGAAACGCGACCTACTGAGAAGATCCGGCGAGAAACTCAGTGGGCGTAAAGAACCGTCGAACACAAATATTAATAAAACTCTGCCTTTCCTACAATCAAATAACAATAGACACGCAAAAAGACAACATGTAAACAAACAAACACGCTTCTCGTTAACCAATCACAGTTCATCAGAGCGATCAAAGTGTTTTCGATTGCTCTGTAATTGTTATAAAACAATTATAATATATATATAAATAAACATACATATATACCTACGATTATTATTAATAATTGTTATAAAACAATTAAAATGAAAAGTTTGTAACGAACTTGATTGCTATTTCTAAATCATTGGTAACAACAATTAATCCATTATTTAAATTATTTCTTACGAAAATATAAAAACTATATATATATAAATTTAGGGCTTTAGTTGTCCAGCAATAAAACAGTTAT